GGTTTAATAAACTGAGTTGATAAAGTAAATCGGCCACCGTAAAGAGTTTTAAAGCCGACGTTTTGAGTGAAAGAGAGGTTGCACTACTTTTTCCTCACCAGAAACTTACCATAACCGTAAGCTGAGTTACTTTTAGTAGCCTTAGCAGCATCTTTGCCACTGTCAGTACCAAGTAAGTGTCTGTACTTGTCTTTGTAAAATGTGGACGGTGCTTGTTTGGAAATTTTTGACGACCTGCACTGTGTTTCCTGACTGGGACCATCAACATTACTCTGTACAATGACAAGGGTGGTAGAAAATGTTTAGAATGTGCTACATGCATGTTCGGTATGTCTAGGCGCGAGTCAGAAATCTGGGCCTAGTACATGAAATCGAGGGTTTCATTTGCAATAACAGCAAGAAATATTGAAACACAACAAACTCATTTCATAGATTGAAGCTTTTAATTGAGTGTTGGCAGTAATCTGCCGTTGCTTTAGTTGTGATTAGTCTAGAAAATTTGCGCTTCCCTCTAAAACAACCAAATGCAAAACTAAACCATTCACAAATTTGTCACATGATTTCCCGTACCTTCAGAAATTTGCCTATTTTTCTTTGCCCTCTCATTGGCTTATGATGATTTAACCTTTATTCTGATTGGCCACAGTGATTACTACCTTTTGGCACAGCTCCAACTGCTGTTTTTACAAACTCCTATTACACCTCAAATGAGCATCTCATTATTTGAGGAAAACAAAAGCCAAACTGGGTAAATTAAACTATGATAGAAAATGCACTTATTTGTTGACATATTTTTTGGGAAATTTTTCCAATGAGCCAGACTAAGTTCATCAGATGTGCATCCAATCACATTGAATGCTGGTGGAGGTAGAGAGACTGTAAGAGTAAAGTGTTCATGGAAAAACACAGCCAGGGTTTAACCTCATACCCTTTCTAGTAGTTAAAATACTCTTAATAATTACGGTTAGAATTTTTTTCTTGATCTAATGCCAAATTTTTGTCAGACTAACTTGTGAGGAATGTTTAGCAGCTAGAGGGAAAAATAACAATGAGATCTTGGAGTTAAAGAGTTACATAAAAGCACTCCATACCTCAGATGCCTCCTTGAGCTTTTCTGCACTCTCCGGATCAAATTCCTATTAAAATGAAGGATACACCACTGCTCAATTAAGTCACTGATATTAGAAGCACGAAGTTAAAGATAACTCCAAATCAAAATAGTGAGCATCATTTCTGGTAAATGTGACAATATCTGAATTAAATCATATAGCCAGTATGATTGTTCAGGTGATAATAAAAATGCCTGCATTCTGATTGGCTCAGAATTATGCAGCAGCTTGTAACAATGGGGCAATACTTTTAAAAATGGCTTCCACCTGGTTCTGATACCCACTTGAGTGACTAAACTAAAACAATTAGGCTTGAGGAATATTCTCAGAAAAATCCTGTCAACCTCATCATCTAAACAATGTTCATTTAGTCTCCAGAGATTAATTCCTCAAGATAAATTGTATATAAATCTTATGTAATAATTTTTTACCTGTCCATTCCTGTATGCCTCAAGTTCTTCATCAGAAGGAGGAAATTCCTGGAAATAAAATAAACAAGGTAGTCGTAAGTACTTGGTAATCATAATATGTAAAGTTGTAACAAAGTTATGTGTACAACAACAAAAAACATTACATTTTGAGATACTGGTATCTAACCCATCCAAAGGATATCCAATCACAGGAGTATAAAGAAATGAAGAAAAGAAACAGTAAACAGAAATCTCAAAACTTTAATTCACAATGCTGGAAAAATGTGTCTTAGCTACATGACACTTAAACCTATAAAATTCCCATGAGTGACCAAGACAGCATTTCTCCTTACAATATCAATACAAAATTAAACAGAAATGTGATAAAAATAAAGAAAAATATTACAAGGGGGATTATCAGTTGATCCAGTATCAAATTCTCGGAACTAACATCATACGAATTGTATGGCATACAGTATGGCAAGTTACTGATAAGATCTATGGAGAGAAAAGATCAAGTCTCCATTTGTAAATTAAGAGATTACCTATGCAGAATTCCTTCCAAACCAAAATGAAATTAAAAAAATACAACAACAACCCAAAGCTTAAATAACTCTTTGTTATTTTACATGCATGTAAGAATATTTACCTTTTTAAAAAGCATAACATATCTGTCTACTTCATCTTCTCCAAAAGAAAATGTAGTAAGACCAGCAATCTCGGCAACATCATGACTAATGAAATGAAACACAGAGTTTTTATTTAGAAATTCAATATCAAGAGGATAGTGTAGTGTAGAATAGTCTAAACATCTGAGTGAAAAAAATTGAGTTAGGTATCCAAGTTTAGCTATACAAGTCTGTTTGGTAACCAGAGAATTCTTTGATCTCCCCCTACTAATGAACACCCAGAGAACAACAAAAAATAAATCAATGTCTCATAAATTTCACAATACTAGGAAAGTATAATATAAATTACTATTTATCAAACATGGCATTCTCACTTTTTGCTAGAGGCAGGATCAGTTAATTCTTTTGATTAATTTCTAACAAACACAGATGAAGTTTTCCACAGTAGGTAAACTGACAATAAAACAATAAATGCCTATAAACTTACACAATACTCCTCTCCACTCTTGTCATTGGTGGAAACTTGAGTCTTGTTTCTTTGGTATCTTTTATAAATTCATTGACTTGTTTTTCAGTCTTAATGCAAATCATAGAAATTCAAAACATTATAAAATCAATGATTAATTAGAATTACTTATGAGATCTTTGGAGAGAAAGGGGGTAAAAGATAACTCTATAATGACATTAGAGGAGTCCCTACCTTTGAACGGAATTCTGCATTCTTCTTCTTTTGTTCCAACTGGAGCTTCTTTAATTTGGCTTTCTCCTCTGTAATTCAACAAAAATACTTATTAATGCTGGGGTAATTGTGAAGGAAAATAATGCTTCATTCTATCACTTGATCAAGCTGTGCATGTGTTTAGGCAAATGCAAGGAGCATTCACGATCTACCAAGGGAGGTGGGGGTTTCAGAACATTCACAGACTTCCCTTATAATGTGATCCATGATTGCTTATCTTCCATTTGCACACAAGTAAACCGATTTAGCTGTGCTTTTGAGTGAAAATCCCTTTTCCAATCATGTTTTCCAGGCCATTCAAGCTAATCTTCATGGATGAGACAAAAACTATTGAGCCCACAATTTATGAGAGAGGATTTTAAACTTGGTGAAGTGAGCAGGACTTGCATCTTTGTAGAAATTTATTTTAAGTAATTTGCACTTTTGAAATCTAAAATATATATCACCTACATGTTAAATAACGACAAAAACGACTTGCTTTGTTTTTGTTTCTGTGTGACTAAATTCAGGATTTCTACCTGATTCCTAGCATTGTTGTAACAGCGATCAATCCTTGTCTAGACTCAGTGAGCTCAGATTCAAGTTCTAGCGCAAATCACACGTGAGAAAATATAAAAATGACAAAAAAATTGATCCAAATACCATTCGCAGAAAACAGGTATGTTAAAAATTTATATTTCATAACAAGTTCAGGCAAATTTCTTTGCGAGTAGCGGAAATCAACAAAGGAACACGATACCTTTGGCCTTCTTGTTTTCTGTAGATGGTGGAGCATCCATGCTGTTAAGAATTGATCCTAGGAGATCCATTTTTATCTCTCACTCCTCACCAATATAATCAAAGGAATCGATGTTATGTATCGTGGTTAATAATTCGTGAGCTCCTCCAAAACAATGAGTACCGCCTTCAGACAGAATTCGGCTGCCATCTTGAAACTTGCTAGAGCCAGGACTAAAGTTGGACGGAAAACAAGGCGTGGATCCTAAGGATTTGGAGTGACATACACGCACGAGTCCACGCACGCTCGTCATCTCGCGTCTAAAATTCGAAAAACTAAAGGAGCGAAAGTAATGAAATTTCGAGAACAAGCCAGCGAAAGGAGAAAAGATATAGCTTAAAAAATGGAGCTACAAACTGTAGTAGCCATTTTACCGCCAACACTGGCCCGCCCGACTAAAAGCAGGAGGCTCTTAAAAGGACGGCACGCCGCGTCGTTTCACACCTCCGTGAAACCGCTGTTGATTAACGTTGGATTTTCACTCCTTTCAGCAAAAAAAAATAAAAATTTCAGTGGAAAAATATGAACGATCTCAAACAAGTTTTTGAAAACCCAAAACAAGAAAAAAAATTGATCCAAAATACTCTGGAACTGGACTCTGGGTGATCCGGAATTATGCACTGATGCCTATGGCAACTGAATTTTTTGTTTAAAACTACGTTTTACGCCTTGGGGCGTCATACCAATCAGTCGGGTATTTTCGAACTCGTATTGTAGATAACCGGATTATTTGTGCATGTTTTTCTTTTTGCAGTAATTCTCTGAACTATTTTCACGGTCTGTTTCTAATTGTCATAATTTTTTCCCTTATTGTAAACGTAGTCACCTTCTGTTTCTTTAAGATGACATGACTTTTGGCACATAATTGAGTTCTCATTGCATAACAACACCAGTTTAATTGGCGCATGCCTGAGCTTTAGTTTCTAAAAAGTTCTGAGGAGTCTTTTAGTGGAAAAACTTGAGACTGGGTTCACTAAATCAGAGCACTATTGTTCATCCGAGATTCCGTTGAGTGTCTTCCAAAAAAGAGGTAAACGTCCTAGACAATTATGCTTTACGTGGATGATTTCGAGGAAGAACTTCAAGAGGAGTACGGCAAGATTTTCCACAACATTGCGTACATCAGGGCTACAAAGCTGGGAGGCAAAGAACTGAACAACCCGAGAAAAGACAAAAAGGAGGACATTTTATCGCAAGCTACATCTCGCGAGAAAAGGTACGAAGAAGACATCGAGTTACGAAGAGACAAGTGCGCTGTACAGGGTACTAACAGATCAGAATCTGACATTATGTTAGAGGCGATGAACACCAAGCCGCTCAGTAACCCTAAAGCCGAAAGTACTAAAGTCACCAGTCCTTCAGAGAGTGAATCTCAAACATTTCGGTCAGATCCTACGCTATACGAAAAGGTTGCGCAAGATTTGGAAACGCTATTCAGCGGATGCGCAATGTTGAATCCAAATGTTTACTCTTTCAACGAGGAGGGTGGGGAAGTTGAGAAAAATACCGAAAATAGTTTGGATCTCCCTCACAAAAATTGCGTCAAGATGAAGAGACGTACACCGAGAAACGAAATTGAGCACAAGATAGTTCATACTAGAAATGATACGCTGCATATATGGACGGCGTACGTGTAAATACCTGCCGATAACGAAGGAACGAAACCGTGAAATTACTCGAGACCATTATCGTATATATTTAAAGTGACATTTCTTTCAAACGGTGTGGTATGTGTGAGCAAACGAACATTAAGGGGGCATAGTTTGTTCACCTTGGCAAAATTGGGCTTTAGAAATTCTTCATTTATTTTTTCATCCTAGTTCCCATTCAGTTTGCCAATGCTCCTTTTGATATCGTTACTACCAAATATTTTGTGGTATTTTTAATTTTTAAGTAGTATTGGACGTCACAAACAAAAGGAAATGATTGCGACTTAACTCACCGAAAAGGAAGAGAATTAGTCAACAAGAAGTTTCTCAGTGTGTATTTGAAAAGGAAGAATATGTGACTTGTATCTTTTGTAGCCGAATAATTGGTGTTCTTCAGTCTTTTGAAAGCGGCTAGATAAAAATTCTTGAAATTAATTAAGTGCGCAGTGAGAGGTGAAATCAAATTACTTTTTTTGTTTCAATAACAATGTGGTTACCTAATTCAAATTAAATGAATGTAGAGGCATGGTCTTCGAGATATTCTGGCGGAAACACATTTCGCGCAGGATTCTTAGAAGAGGCGTGTGAAGGACCGCAAAGCGTGTTCCCTCACGAACTATTAAGGAGTTGAAGGTGTTTAATGTGATTATCCACGCGAGTCGCGAGTCACGCGAGACTTTGACTAATCCATTAGAAGCCTTTCAGCAAGAGCGTTTCTTCGCTCGTTGGATAGTATGAGGCAGCCGATAAGAGGTCTGGAAGGGTCTAGCACTGACATTAGTGCCAGACCCCGGCAAACCTCTCCCTGATTCGTCTAAAAATGTTCCCGCGGATGGAGTAACGTAACTTCTGGAGCGTTGAAAATGAGGGAATGGGAGCAAGTCAGACGAAGAGTGCATTCAAAATACTGTACATAAACGGGGACATTTTGTGGAGGAATGTAGCAGCGACATATCACGGCCAACAACCTGGTTGCTCCTTTCTGTTAACTCATCATCTCCTTCGTCGAGATCACCTCCTTCGTTTACGCTAAAGGGCAATCACGCGCAAATTGAAGAGGCCGCGTCTTCTAATGGTTCCAATCAACAATTCTTAAGACTTGATACTTCGGTCAAGTGTACAGAATTTTAAGATAATAATCTTAAAAATAGCAAAGTTATGACAAACCCTTTGCAAACTTCGTAAAAATTGTCTCGAAACATCCCTTTTTTTAATTTTTTTTTATTTAAGTCTCGTATTATCAAAATTTCCAAAGCTTCGCAAATGAATAAAATCTGTGCCAATAGCATCAGGGCCAACGAATTTGAGAGCCTAAAATATATCTGATGTTTTAAGACTAGTGCTCTTTTTACCATCCAACGTCCTCGTGTCACTCCTCCCTCGATGAAAATGTACGTCTAAGCCTTAACAACTCATAATGTGGATCAATCTCTCTCCATTTCTTACCCTTTTTTCCTTCTTCTCTAGCTTCCAATCTTCGTCCTCAGAAATTCCTGTTTTGCGTTACTTTACCATCAACGATTCAGATTTTTTTCTTGCTGAAAAGCTGTAATTTTAAGTTTTTTGTCCGACTTTGTCCGTCGCAAGCAAATGGGCACTTTTCAATTGAGTTTCGAATACCAAATCCAAAATAATCACAATGGTCTATCGCATTAAAGGAAATATGACCAGGAGCCAGAAAGAACTCAAAACAAAAAAATACCACGAGCATGGAGCGCGGGAAAACACGAGCGATAAAGTCGTGATTGGTTTTAGTTTTGACTCTGATTCGCTGACGAATTGGCTCAAGTTTTTTAGGCCAATCACAGAGCGTATTAAGGTAAATCTTATACAATCCTGGATTCGACTTTCGCGCCTCAATTGAAAATTGCTCCAATTATTGTCTATCATCCACATAACGTAGCATCAATCTGTGTGACTGTTGGAACAGCGAGTTTAACTTTCCGCCTGTACGCTGTGTCTCGCCAGATGGGGTTTCTCTCCAAGTAAATTGTTTGGAGCTTGGTGCAGTTCTTGAACTGGTCCAGATCTTCCCACGAGTCTAACTGGTTGTCATTGAACTGCATGTGGAGAACAACGAAGAAATTTAAAACCCTGACAGGCCTAAACTTTGATGATTCATTATTTGAGCAATAAATCGGCTGGTTTATCGAAAACAGTAAGGCGACAAACGTTTCGTTTCATTGTCTGTTTTTGTTTGGTATTGAATTGTTTCATAGTTAAGCAAAGAGGCCAGGGGCGAGCGGCTGAAAATGAGCGCGAGCCCGAAACCCACCCTTACTACCACCCCACCCCCACCCCCTACCCGGTGCGTTCACTAAATCCCTCGCAGCTATAATTTACCTTGCATTATAGATGATTATCTAAAAGAAATTAGAGAGTTTGTGAACGGGCTCTGTTAAATTGATTCCTACATCTTATTCTCACGTCGTAATAAGCCCCCACTCTCTGAGCTCCTCATACCTTATAGCAAACGCCCCGTGGCTGATAAATACCAATTTTGCTAATGGGAAAGAGCGCTCACTTTCAAAGTACCTGTACTTAGTCATTTTGCTGATCTTGGACGCTTAAATAATGGTGAGGGGGAAGGGAGTGTTACCCATTAAAATAGTGATGCTTTTACTAAAAAGTGAAAAAATAGAGACGACAATACCAAGTGCCTGGGTGGGGGCGGGTAGCTTATTGGAAACCTGTTTATCCCTGTTCAAATCTTTTCCCAGCCACAAAACTGAAATTCTTTCACTGCAGTCCCTAATTTAGCTCCTTGACTGCGTCTTGTAAATAGTTGCCTGCTTTGCTTTTAACGAATAGGGATTTTCAACTAATAGGATGAACTTTACAAGTTTACATATTTAGCGCTCCAGTAATTAGCACAAAATCAAATGTTAATAAATATACCCAGAATTCTTCCAAGTTGACAAGATGGGAGATATTCTTGATTCTTTTTATCCTGTTCGATGCTAAGTCCAGGGTTTTAAGATTTGTCTGTGCAAACAAAAGAGTAATGGTAAGGGCGCATTACAATACAGCACCCACTCTGTCCTTACTGTTCAGTGTACATAGTTGACACATAAGAAACGTAGAAGAGATGTTCATGATGTTCACGTTAATGATTGCAACTCAATATAATTTTTTAAAAGTAAATTAAAGTAATCCCTTTTTCCTGATGGAAGGAGGCCAGTCTACTTTGAGAAAAATTTCCACCAATTTCAACACCTTTCAAGAACTTATGCACTGCTGAGTGGGAGATGTGTCACTGAAAATGCATCATATGCTACCATCCATCATGTTGCAGACTTTTTAGGAAACATGTCAAATATATCACTTGGCTCATTAGGTCATGTTCCTGAATTGAGATTTGAGGTTCCAGAGCTATTCTGTTTTTTTTTTTCCTACCTTAAGATTATCTATATGGTATTGATTTACAGTGACAAGAAATGAATCCACACCCATGGCTCTGCACCTTTGGAATTTTCATGTTATTGAAAGACTCCCATAAACATAAAAAAGCTAGCTCTTTTCCACTCACCAGATTATCAAGTCCTTCTATTTCCTCTATGCCATTATGACTGATGTAGAGTTCTTCTAGGTTCATTAGACTGTTCAAACCCTCTAGCTTAACGATACGATTACTCTATGATAAAAAAAAATAGTAAAAATAAGTTTTATCCTTTTATGATAAAACTGTCAAGAAAACAGAACATGTGACCAGGTTCTGATGAACAGATCACCAGGTATCTGGTTAGATCGCACCATGGTTAGATTGCTCCCAGTTAGATTGCTCCATCAAATAAAATAAATAAATTGCTCCATCAAATAAGTTACTTCATTACCAACACAAGTTAATTTATTCCATGTTGTAATGTGAAGTATTACTTTCCAATGATTTTTAAAGCTTATAGGTCATGATGTATCTTGCAACAATTCCAGTACATAGTACTCACTCTGTCCTTCAGATTAGCCACTGTGCTACTGATGTATGATGTATGGCAATGATGGAATAAATGATTGTGGAATAAATTATAACATTCTAGTCTGAAGTGTATTGGAAAGGATCATTAAAATACCAATACTGTCCAGTGTGGCCTTTCTTGCTGTTTGATGTAAGGAAACTGATATCCACCATCTTTAATTAATAAAGTAGATTGCACTTCATGAGTCCCTTACGTGAGGCTTTATTTGTTCTTTCTGCACAGTTCAGGGGTGAAGTCACTTATTTGATGGAGCAATCTAACTTTCAAGTGGAGCGATTTAACTTTAGGTTGGAGTGATCTAGCCATGGTGCGATCTAACTGTAATTTGATCACTGACATGGTAAGGTTACTCTTGAGCCTAGTGGCCCAAACTGCCAGAGTATATCTCTGCTTTCCATTAGGAGCACATGTATGGTGAGGATATTGGTCCACTAGAGGTTACCCCCCCCCCCTCTTCCTGGGTGAATAGAGACTTACCCCTCACCCTTAGGTGAAGGGATACTTACCCACCCTAAGTGAAGGGAGAATTATCCCACCCAATTGAAAGGAGACTTATCCCCCCTTCCAAGTGATGGGAGACCTTGCAAGAGTTGAGTATTTTGCTCAATAACTCAACCCAATGACCCACCCTGAGTTCAAACCTTGACCCCTCCCCTGAAGTCCACCACACAAAATATACCACCATTACATCTCCCACATTGAAAGATAAAAAAAATATCTTGGCTTAAAAATGGTTGGCCGTTAAAAATGCCCCTATTTATTCAGACAAAGTATTGTAAGATTTGTTAATACATGTGAAGACAATCAATTTGAAATGCAATTATTGAAACAGTGTAGCATCTACAGTAAAATTGTTGTCAAAATTACAATAGTCTTACAGCAATTGAACAATACAAATACATCCAAGCTTTTTTTTAACTCTGACTCCACTTACCTGTATACTAAGAAGCTTCAGGTTTGTGAGACAACTAAGATTCTGAAAAACAAATAAAATTTCCACGAGTATTGACAAACAAACAAAAATAACAACAACTTGTCACAGTAGTTATCACAGTAGAGAGAAAATATCACAATTTTAACTGAAAACTTGTGCACACTTCCTGAAAATCAGGAATAGACAAATGACCAAGTCATTTGGTCCTTTTGAGAAAAAAGTTTACTATTGACAACAAGTACAAATTTCATCTTTTAATTGTCAACTTGTGATAACCAAACACATCTACACAAAAAAGCAAACTTGGCACCCACCTCAAGCTTTGTGATCTTATTCTTTCCCACAAATAAACTATGCAACTGTGTGAGATGTTCAAACCCCTCTAGAACCTTAAATCAAAAGCAAATGAAAACCTACATTTGGCTTTCTAGTAGAAAAAGGGGTATGACACTGGAAGATCTCTAAACAGACACTTTCACAAGCAAGCAGCTCTACTGATAACCACCTTCACAAAACCCTGTTAGAAAATTTACCATTAGACAGTACTTTCACATTCCCAATGGCACACATTCTTGTAAGTGGCCATAGACACTTTAAAGGAGTTTTCTTCTTTGCACTTAAGCACCCATGAAGGTAAAACCCATTAGACTCAACCGAATCTTATGTAAATCAGCCAATTCTTCTTTGCTGTTTGACACAATGATTTGACAGGGCATTTATTGCACAGTGAACAGCACCATGTCTTATTCTTAGTCTAGTTACCATACCTTTAACCCTTTCACTCCCACAAGTGACCAAGACAGAATTTCTCCTTACAATATCAATACAATATCAAGCAGGCAGGTGATAAGAATAGAGAAGAATATCAATTATGGGATTATTAGTTGATCCAATACCAAATTCTCTGAACTAACATCATGAGAATTGTATGGCAGATAGTAAGGAGAATTACTAATTAGACCTTGGGAGTGAAAGGGTTAATCACTTGGGTACAGTTTGAAACACCAACCTTACACAAGTAATTTGAATTTTAACTGGGTAAAATTGCACATCTTTTACTCACACCTCTATCTGCCACTCAAAACAAACTTTCTTCCAAGCAGCTAGCTCCCATTATGAACACATTATCATAGTTCTAAAGGTGTTCATTGACAGGAACTTCCACTATACATGTATCAGATAAATAACACTTACTCTTATTTTATTTGCACCAAGTTCAAGCATTTCTAACTGTGGTAGATTCTGAAGTCCTTCAATCTTGGAGATCTTGTTTGAAACCAGAAACAACTTTGTCACTTTCACCAGACATCCCAGGTTTTCAATTGTTTTGATCAAGTTAAAGGACAAATCCAAACTCCTGAAGATTTAGTAAGAACAAAACTTTCAATTCAGAAAATCTTTTAATTCTTTAGTAATCAAATATGCAATTCATATGCACATTCAGTTAAGTTATTTTAACACGGTCAAAAAGAGGGAACACTTATAGCTGTTTCAATCCCTTAAATTATGGCTTACTGTCTCACATTACAGTTACTGTAGTTGTTGCCATGAAAGGTGCAGATGAAGGTACAGGATCCAGAGCATACCCTTTCAATTTCAACTTTTAGAGGATTTAAACTTAATATGGAGTGATTTTCCTTTAAGTCATTGTAAACAAATTTTGTTACCTGCATTACGTGCCAAGCCAGGAAACACCAAAACCTTTTGCCACTTATCATTGCTTATGGCATAATTTATGATGCGCTTTTAAAAGACTGTCAAGATTACAATTTTTTCATCAAATGCAAGGGTCAAAACATCACTTTAATTGGCCCTCAGAATAACCTGAATTAAAATGACAGTCTCATTCTACAAACAATTAATAAGGGGATAAGTTTCTTAACCCTTTAACTCTCAGATCAAATTTGCAATTCTCCTTACTATCAACAATAAAATTCTTACTTGTTAGTTCAGAGAATTTAGTATTGGATCAACAAATTATCCCCAAATTGATGTTTTTCTTTATTCTCATCACTTATCTGGTTAACATTGCACTGATATTGTAAGGAGAAATTTTGTCTCAGTCACTCATGGGAGTTAAAGGGTTAAGAAACTTTAATGCCGCATCAGTGGGGGCTAGTAAAGGATAGTTTGGTTTTATCAACTGAGTATATAAAGTAAATTGGCCATGGTCAAGAGTTTCTAAAGCTGACGTATAGAATGTTAGCCCTTTGTCAGAGCATTAGCCCCTTTGTCCAGCTTGAAACATAATATTTTCTGTTGCCATTTTTGTTAAGTACAGAGTTTTGTCTCACGTGAGGTTGGTGTTGTTGTCCAGTCCCTCTATCTGTGTAATCTGATTATCATATAAGTCCAGCTCTTCAAGGGTTGTCAATGTGCTCAGTCCTTCAATCTTAGTGATTTTATTTCTTCTTAAACAAAGAGACTGAAAACAAACAAAGGCAAGTCTGGTCATTATGTCTACATGTATATCAGCCTTAACAAGTAGATTTACAGTTACTTACAGAAAGAATCAAGACAGAATGGATAACATAGAGGGTACTTCATTTACATTCTACATGAGCAAATTTGTGCTTTAATCAGGGCTCTTATCATGTGCTGGAAATATTCTAAGAATGTGTAGATGGCAGGTCATATGCATGTGATTGGAAATTGGCCAATGACAATCATTTTGGAGGAAGGGAGACTGCAAGTCCACAAAAACCATACCTTCACACAAGTCAGTCTCTCAAAGCTTTCTAGTTTTTCAATTTTTGCATGAGTCAGGTCAACATCCTGCAAGATTAAAAAAGAATCTTCAGTTACGGCAGATTCTCTCTAGCGGCAGTGATTTAGTTCTCCCAAAGTCTGTAAGTGTCTTTGGGAGGTAGGGGGAGCTGAACTCACCTCTGCATCATGTTCCACGTTCAGAATTCGCACTAGACCAGACTCTGCGACAAGAATAACCACACTTATTATTTGGTGTATAAGACATAATTACAAACGATAAAGAAAAATATTACCTTCTTCGTTCGCTGCGCTTCCTTCCATACTGATTTTACAACTTCTCAAAGAATTGTCAAAAGCCTGAACTTGTCAGCGGTATCAATTGAAAGTAACGTCATGAGAGCCTACTGAAAATAATGGCGGCTGATTGTAGTTGAAAATGGGAGAACATTCTCCTTCGCCAACTCCGGAGAGGGCAATCTATGGATTTGTACTGTACTTGGGAACCTATTTTGGACTTGGTTAGTACTAAGGTAGAGACGGTTTAGACCTGATGTTATGCACGAGTCCTCTCCAGATTCTAGAATATCAAATAAGCATTCTATTATTACTAACATGTAAACTCATGCTATAATAACTGTATTTAACTTTTCAGAGAGTTCAATATTCACGAAAAAGCAGCCTAACTTGTACCTTAACATAATTTGATTTTCTTGATTTATTTCAATTATTAGGCCTGTATTTTATTTGGGCTTGCTTTCCAGAAGAATGGCTTCATAGTATTGGAATAACTTATCTTCCTCAAAGGTAACCGTGTGCTCACAGTTAAGCTCACCAACAGGTTGGGTGGATTGTTTTTAATCCTAAGGTTCCATATTACACAGATGTGCAAAGAAATTAATGAATTTTGTATGGAGGGAAGGTGTGAAAATAAAAATAGAGCTTCTTGGGGACACTCTAGAAGAAATGAACACCGATAGATAGAGGGAGG